CCATGGGGTATCACGAGTGAGCGACGAGGGAAGGAATGCGTGTGCGTGGTGTCGTAGATACTGCTGTTCTGTAGCGTCGACCGGCGTAAGTTCGTGTGTGTTTTGTCCAGTCTATTCTGGCGCCAGTCGATACATATTGACCCCATCAGCCTGGCCAACAAATACAAGACCACAAGACCAGACCCTAGCCACGCTTCATCTTGCATTTATTTACATTACATGCATGCACCTGTCTCTGTGACAACTCCGACCGAGAGGGGCAGCACAACACCAAACACTTGCCCGAAGCTTCATCTTGAGCGTTTATCCACCTCGCCACATTCTGGTGATCCGCTCAAAATTATATCTCGAAGTAGCACTATATATATCCTTTGCCAGTTGTGGCCGAGAGCACCAACGCAAAACCAATCCGTAACCCGTGCTTCATGTCTGATTTTTGGATCAGTCATCTTGTCGTGCACATGCACACCTCTCCCTTTGCCAGCTCGTTCCGCAGCAACGCCTCGTACTTGAGGAAGTTCTCCAAAAGGTCCTTGGGGGCGACGCCTTCTCTAAACCCTGCTTGGAACTCCTTGTGAGTCCAGTTGGTTTCCTTGAGCCTCTCAAAGTGCTCCGCCATCGAGATCCCGTGATCCTCCCGGTACCTGGGAAAGCGCAGTGGTCGTCGCATGCAGGAGTACCAAGAGTGAGGAAGAGGGAGTAAGGGAGCGAGAGGCAAGTACAGAGTAGATGGAGAGAGGGGGAGAGAGAGGGAGGGAGACCAGGAGCAATGAAATCGGATCACAAAACGAAGCCTCTATTCCCACGACCGAACGCTTGATCGTTGCACAAGCTCAAGGCCAACAACGACCTTGACAGAGGGAAAAAAACAAACAAAATCATCGACAAATAGCCCGGCCACAGCCCTGACCGTTCTTTCACGCTTGGAGCTATAGGCCGCCAATCAAAACAACCAAGAGTTTGTCCATCAAATGCTGTCGAAGAAAAACGACTACCCCAGGCGTTGGCCGGCCGTAACACCAACACCAACTCAAAAAAAGACAGAAAAAATAAACAGTCGAGGCCTGGACTAGACAGGGCCGAACCCCGGATGGGCTCTCGTTGGCATGGGGCACAGAAGTAGCGTCGAAATTCTCGCCAACTCGTGGAACGTACTTTATGAGTGGGGCCCTGGCAACAGCGCGGCCGGCTCAGTTGCGCACGGTAGTGTCAACATACACAGCAATTCGCCGCGACGAGTATGCAACAACAAAAACACTTTACCGTTCAGGCACACCCTCGCAACGAAATACAGCCATGAACATGTGATGGTGAGTGTTGGTGTGTGTCGCTATTTTTACTTTAATAGTTTTCAGTTTGGGGGACGCAAAAAACATTTCAATATTTTCCGTTTCGGGGACGCAATACATGGAAGAAAATGACGAGCCCGCTCGATGGGGCGTCGAGAAAAAAATGAACGCGTCAACGACGACGAAGCTCTCTCCTACTGTAATGCCTCCCATTGCATCATGGCGAACAACAAGTTCCCACATGGGTACACCGAATCAAGGGTCTTCATCCTTCACTGTTGAATTGTGAATGCCATGATTGGTACTCCCCGTATACGATGATATCTGATATCCGAGAACCCCCGAGTCTCGGTGCCAAACCCTTGCACTGCCCTCTTCGTTCCCCAACAGCATTATTGAAGTATCATAGCCTCCTTGTTGCTTCACCACCGCCAATCGCACGTACAAGCACCGAGAAGCGAAACTTTCCCGCCGTCCTTTCGCCCCTTCACCCACCTCTGCAAGTTCTTCCTCTCTGTGGAGGTGACCCGTCCTCCGTCCAACGTCTCGGCGAGCAGCTGCCGGTAGTGCTCGTTGTGATCCCGAGACTGGTCGACCTTGTTCACCAGGTCAACCGATATCGCCTTCTGGAGACACGCGCCGATCATGGGCCGGCGCTTGATGAACTCTCGCAGGGCGTGCTGGTCCCAGACGTACACCACCATCGGATGATGCACGGTGAGAGTGCGCCGAAAGATTTCGAGGGAGGGAACCGTAACGGTAAATGCCATCATACACCGACGGGCGTGTAGGCAAGGCCAGGCCAACTGGTGGCACCAGCAGGGTAGAACGGTACCGTCTCCATGCAAGATAACACCCTCCTCCCCCACGAAAGATAGCACCCCCTCTACAATACCACATCAAAGCTGGCAATCATTTTGCGGTTCGCCATGAGCCCCCCCCCCAAAACGTATCAGGCCAAGAAATACGGTGACGAAAGTTACCACACCAACTCCCCCAGAGTAAAACCCACGGTCAAACCAGCCACATTCAGGAGGAGGGGGTGGGTTATCTTGTGTGAAATACTCACGTCGGAAGTAGCGGTTACGGTAGTGGTGGACCGTTCGAGCGCCGACTTCTCCTGCCGCTTGCTCTTCTGGTCTCAATGTCATCCTGCGTTCTGCAGTCTCCTCTTAAGAGTAATCTGTGACCCCAATGCTACTGGAACACTCGCTGACGCTCCTACGAACACTCTCTCGACGACGGTCGTTGTAGAATAATTATATACTCTTCTCTTGCGCAAGTCGCATGTTGCGCTGCTTGATGACCATTTTCCGAGTATGTACCATGTAGTGTGGTATTTAATATTTATATATGGTTCGTACGCATAGTGACGAAGGAATCCCGTGCGAAGGGTCTGGGTCTCTCGTCTTGATGACGATTACCATGGTACTTCCACGCCCCTTCATGTAACCGGCGAGTTTTATGGGACAACCGGCAGCATCACCCGGAAATAGATATCGGGAAATCGTATGGCGCACATGTTACGGTAGCCGGTCCCGTGATGGACTGTTTGAGTATGTCTCTCTCTCTCCTTCAAGGTGAAATTGATTTTTGACAAAACGTACAGCGGCGGGACATAGCGGTCCAATCATGACCATCCACGACGTGCAATGCGATCACGAGTTTCTTGTTGGTGAAGTGCTAGCCTGGTCCGGTGTACACCCGCTGTCTTCCGTCCGTCTTTGTAGGGATACGAAGCCAATGATCTGACGACTACGGCATGCGCGGCTATGAGTATACCGCATCCATCTGGGTGCACACATGCCGAAGATCACACAGACAGGAGGAAATTCTCCACTTCTCCTTTCCCTTTGCGTGCTTCGATTCTTGCCGCGTTTACAGCGTAATGCCCCTGCGATGTATCTACTCGTGGATGTTGCTGGACACCATTTGTAGTCTTTTTTTTTTTTTCATGTCATGTCATGGATATTGCTAGATATCTTTGGAGATCATTTCTATCAGCTATGATACGATGTAGAATCGACTCATATCACGGACATGGTTAGAAAATGTTGCTCTCATCTACAGCTAGTACGTACGTTCGTGTGCGCAGCAGGCGTGCAGGTCGAAGAGAGATACAGTACCGGTATACAGAACAGGATAAAGGTCACCCTGAACATTAACATCATCAACACTCCATGGGTGGGTTGCATTTTGTTCTTTCTGCA